AATTTTCCATCTATTTTCTAAAAGTGCCAATAATGCAACTCGATGAAATGAGCTTGAATTAGGTCACTTTCCTACGTGTCTTAGTGATTCACATGGAGCAACATGGCGGTGCTCCATGCATGCATGGCGGTGCTAACGTAAGGCAAGTGTGAAGTATCGACTTCATATTTTATAAACCGAAGTTCTCGTAATGCGAAAACTTTTCGTTAATTTAATGTATTTCCTTCCACTCGTAGCTGGAAGACACTTGCCGAATTTGCCGAGCATGTGCACAATACTTTTGGGCAATTGAATTGTTTCAGGTGCGTGTGTAGCTCCATGTTTGCCGTATGGCCTTCCCTAGTCGCAAGTGTCTCTTTCGGCGCGCTTATATGGTTAAAGGGGGAAGTACTGCAGATATGCATCTGAGCCAACGTCAATTGATGCTGTCAACTATGAGTTACCGATTCCATATTTGCTTTGGTTAGCTGCTCTGCTTTCGTTTGCATTTCCGTTCGTTAGTGAAACTTTTTATGCATTCTTGGATGGTTTTTCATTTTCATTTTCATTTTCATTTATTTTTCTTTTTTTTTCCTGCCTTATTTTGCATTTTTGCAATTTCCATGCATTTTCCACTTGTGCACTTTGTTTGTTTTTGCTGAAACAGCAACTTTTATAGTCGTGTCGTTTATGGAACGTTTCGAAGGTGTAAATTCACGGTGATGAAGAGTTGAAAATCGTGTAATTGGGTTGTTTTAAAAATTGGATAATGTCATTTGCTAAACTGACTTGTGTTTATGCATATGTGAAGTGTTACTCCGAAATGGCACTTGGACTTCTTACTTTGATTTCTCATTCTTTTTACAACAAATTTCGACACAAATTAACTTTTCTAATAGTTGGTATTAGATTATTATTAAATCAAAACCGAATTCTATTTTCAGAAGAATTTATAATTTTGCGACGAGAATTTTTCGTATTTTATAAAGTATTTATTTAGTCAGTCTAGAGATTCAACTAAGAACTATTTTTGCCAACAGATCTTACTTCTAGCTGTTGCCTACACAGCTATTGAGAATAAGGTCCTCTCTCTCGTCAGACAAAAATAACGCTCTACAAGTCTCTCATCATGGCTCTCTTGATGTATTGGGTAGATATTTGGACAATTACCAACAGTGATGAGAAGGCTGTGTAGGCAATTGAGAATAAGGTCCTCTCTCTCGTCAGACAAAAATAACGCTCTACAAGTCTCTCATCATGCCTTTCCTGCTGTATGGTGTAGATACTTGGACAATTACCAACAGTGATGAGAAGGCGTTGAGTCCATTTGAAAGAACAATTTTTCGAAAGATATGTGGTTCATTACACGTTAGTAACGAGTATCGAATTAGATGGAGTGATGATCTGTATGAGTTGTACCACGACATTGACATAGTTAAGCGCATAAAAATTCAACGGTTTGATGGTGTTTTATGAAAAATGCGGTAGGGGACGTCTGTGCTTGGTGAAAGGACTAGGTTAACAACGATATAGTTTTCAGACTCTGATTTCAGACTTTTTCTGAAACATTCAACTAAGTTATGTAAGTATTTAGTTAACTTTCAGGCTTATTAAACTTCCATCACAAAGAACCCGTTTTGAGCTTCAGTCACACTTTTCAGTTTGAAAAACAGTAGTGGCACGCCTTATTGGATACATCCCTAATATCAGTCATCAATATCACTTCAATTTCATCTGTGATTGAAAAAATATGCCTGTATGAAGATTTTGCATTTTCGTACCAATACGGCGTTTACATTGTGAGATTAAAAGTAGATTAAAGCAATAATCGAGATTAAAGTACTAATCTCGTTGTATAATCTCAGATTTCCCATACAAAAATTAATCTCCTTTTAATCGAGATTAATTTTTAATCTCCTTAGAAATGATTATTTTTCTGTGCAACTCTACAAATGGCATAATATCGTAGATTTTTTACGATCTTAGAAGAAGAAGATCTTAGAGAAGTGAGGTAATTTTTATTAAATTTGTTTAATAATAGTTTTACACATAAATATAACTAAAATTTGTAAAATTATTGTTAAAAAACTATATATAAAATTTATATTATGATTTTTTTGTATAAAATTGTAATTAAATGCTTTATTTACAGAAATATATCAAACACTCCAAAACGAAACATAACAAGAAAGACGTCAAAATTAATCATCAATGTAAACGGTGTAGATTAAAAATGTGGTTTAACTTAAAGTCGTTTTCTTAATCTCACAATGTAAACGTAGTAAAATTCTTTAAAACAAATTTTTAAAAGGATAAATGTAACTTGAAGAAAATATAAAAATAAATATAAGTATGAATACCTTCCTATTATAAATAAGCAAAACAATTTATGAATAAAGACTTTTATGTAAATAGCTTTTTCTTTTTTTAATTTATTCTAAAAAAGGTTTTTCAAACAGTACTGAACTACAACAACAAAAATTTTATTTTTTTAAATATCATTATTATTTGTTTTTTAGTTATAAGTAAAGAAGAACTTTATTTTGAAGATTTTCGTGGAATGATTTTATTTTTGGACGAAAATATCGTTATTTTTAAAAATTCTTGAAGAAAATTCTTTGTAAAATATTTTCAATGATTAAAATAAGTAAAAAAATAGTAAAACAAGTTTTTCTTTTTTGTTTTTAATTTTAATTTTGCTGATTAGATTTTATAATAAAGAATGAAAATCTTTATAATGAGATTTTACATTTTCGTTTCAATTTAATTCTTTAAATGTACTAAAATGTCATATAGGTCTTAATATCACCAATTGTCATAATATGATTAATTGTTGCATCAGTAAAATCCCGCTGCATTTCCATCAATTCTCTTCTAATTTTATGAGGAACTACCACATAATTTCTTTTTGACATTCTGTTATATTGGGAAACGCACATAGGTTGGTAATTGACCAAATATGCAGTTAAAAGACCTTGATAAGGTCTAACCCGTTCATTATTAAATTCAATACGTGGAAAATCATATGGTAATGGATAAGACGATCCATTTAAGTTAATGGGAACTGCCCGAATAGATATTATTATATGGTGGAGGGTTATCATTTCGAGTACCAACAACTGTTGTTGAAACATCCATACAGTCGACTGCTGTTTACGTTCCGGTTCATACTCGGATTCGTTCATACTCGCATATATCCAGGATTTGTCACCTGTTATAATCATTTGTATTTCTTGAGCATTTGTGAACATCAATCGACACGAGCATCTTTTTGAGATTTTATCAAATGATGGGGGATCTAACGAGAACAAATCTTTCTTATGGCAAAATGATCGTGCAATATTTTATATGTGATGGTGGATCCTATGCTAATGTCTAGGGTTCCCTCAATCTCACAGTATGTCGCATGACGATCTTGTATTACTCATATCAGTTTTTGCACAGCATCAATGTTTTCTGGCACAACAGCTGATTTTGGATGACCTTTACGAATTTCGTCAGTGATGAAACTGCAGCGTTTCACAGTGGCAAAGGATAGATCTTCACCACCAAACGTGAAAGTAAGTTGATCGATGTATTCTTGTCTTGATTATGCACGTTGAAAGTCATAATAAGTTATCGAACGAAGATTTTCTCTTGTTAATTCCATTTTTTCGCAAACAGTCTTAACGCTCTTTTGACAAAAAGTCAAAGGTACTCGTAGGTTATGTTTAATAATGTCGAACTTTCATATGGAAATGTCAAATGACACCTGACAATAGTCAGTGTTGCCAAGCTTCAAAATATAAATAGTGGTCTGCGTATGAGGACTTTATATTCTCGTTCCAATTCTGTAAAAGCTAAGGCTGTGCTTAAAAATTCCTTTAGAAATTTTATGTATAAATATTTTTAATGAAAAAAATATATAAAAAATGTTGTAGAAATACTTTTTCTTTTTTTTTTCTAATTTAATTTTGCTTATTAGTTTTTTCTTGTAATAAACAATGGAGAACTTTATATGGAGATTTTGCATTTTCGTTCTAATTCTTTATATGAACACTTCATTTAAAATATGAGAGTTGGCAGGATTTTCATCTACCCAAGCCAACAGTATAAATATTTTGTTAAGGATTTGAAAATTTTAGGTTGAAAATTGT